AAGATGTAGAGGTTGAAGATTACATGGCTATAGTCTAAACTCCTAGTATCCCCCTTAATAACCCCTATAGTAGTCCCCTATATAATCCCCTATATAGCCCCCCCTTTAAGGAGTTTAGACTATATAACTCATATACTGAATGATGCCCTGAGGCTCCCAGCCTCGGTGCGGAGCCTCTCCATGCCCCGGATGCTGGGCACCACCTTCTTCTTCGCCTTGGGGTTCTCAAAAGCAGTGTAGGGTTTAGGGTTTAGGGTTTAGGGTAGGGTTTAGGGTTTGGGCATCCCTTTTGGGAGCTTCCCCCCCAAAGGTTTGCAATGTGAGATTTTTTTGTGATTTAAACCTTAATCCTCAACCCCTAACTCCAGTCCTAAACCCCAAGCGATAAGCCAACAGAACCTAATACTCCTGAGTCAAGGAAGATACCCTAAAAAATCATATTAGTACCTCTTATATGACTGACGCATATGGTAGTTTCTGTAAACAGGTGGACCGCGATATGGAACCCACAATACTACATTCCCCCCAAAAAGTCACCCCTAATTTGAGGAAACCCACTATAAATCACAGTTTCGTTCCGTTTGATTTTCCAATATTGAGGATAATCTCCCTATATTCACCCAATGTCCATTTCACTTTCCAATTTCTTGTCGAATTGATTCTCAATCATGGGGGGGTTGTATCCCCGATCATCCCCTGACTCCCCTACGTAAACCTGAGCCCTCATACCCAAATAATAGTCTTTACATGTTCGATGCGGTTATCAATAAACCTGTATTGGGCTCTCCTCTAAAACCTTAAACCCTAAAACCCTAGACCTATAAACCTAAAACTCTAAACACTAAGCCCCTAACCCCCAGGCCCCCAAAACCTAAACCCTAAACCCTAAACCGACAAACCCAAACCCTAACCCCAAGGTGGTCACTGGCTGCCTGGGTCGTCTTGAGCTCCATTGTCTGCTCCTGGTCGCGCTTCGGGCGCATCGTCGATCGAAGAATCAGGAAGAGGACGATCTTAGAGTTTAGGGTTTAAAGTTTTGGGTGTAAGGTTTAAGGGTTCAGGGTTTAAGGGCTTCAGGCTTTAATGGTTTACGTAGGGTTTCGGGTTCAGGGTTTAAGGTCAAAGGGGTTTGGGGGTTTGGGGTTTCGATGTTTTGGTTCAAGGCTTTAGAGCTTTAGATTCTAGGACTTTCGGGTCTCAAGGGTGCAGCAGCGGCGCCTTTCGTTTGGAGATTTAGGAGTTTGGGCTTGAAGGGATGTAAAGGCTACAGTTCAATATGCTATACTATACTACAATGTACTATAACTGGTTCCATCGCCTCACAAGCATTGAAATAGTCTCGACGTGAGTACAGAGGTGGTTAGACCTGGTTTCTAGGTTGCGTCCCACCCAACAACAATGTCCGTGCTTAGCTGCACTTGGCTTGGGATGGGATGTGCAGGATGCGCACCTTAAGCCCCAGAATTGAGCATCAGTACGGGCTTCCGGGAGCACATAGCCCCCAGGTAGTTTCCACTTTCTTTTGCATTCTGTGTAACATAGAATCCTGTATTGGGCTCTCGGTTCTCCTTTCACACGTGCTCTGCGCCTGAGCTCTGCCTCCAAGTCCTTGTAGAACCTAGGAAGCTAGCAAAGCCATGATAGGCATATACACACATGTCATGCCTTGAAAAAACCCTTACTTGATATTATGAGCTGCCTCAGAACACTGTGGAGCATGGCTCTGCCCGGGATCTTGGCAAGCGCCACGACGCCGGCCATACCCACCAGAGTTGCGTACATGTTTGGCCTCAAGTACAGCTCCCATAAGGCATGGCTTTGCAAACTTCAGATTCTGGTGGCTTCAAGTTTCGGAGTGCTTGGCATTGGGGGTTTACATCTTTACTTAAAATCTAAGCTTTGGTGGTTGGAGGCCTTTCAAGGATCTCAGCGAGCCCACAATCCCGTTGGCAAGGAAATATATGGAAATATGTAGCGGTTGAAGGCTTTTGGGCTCTAGTCTTTAATATGCTTCGGCTTGACTATGACTATGGCATAATCTTGGCACCTCAAAAGATAGCTACAGTTGGACTTCACATTCAGCCCTGATGCTTGCCAAGTGGTAGGTTTGCTTTCGAATGCTAGGTGTGTTGAGGAGCTAGAAGGCTCCAGGGGACACAAGAAATTGTTTCAATTTGCACGACAAATTCCTCAGACCCTTATGGTACTGTTAAGAGAGCCATGAACTTTTCTGAGGCAGCGGCTGGGAGAGGTGAAAGCGAAATCGGAAGACGATGAGAACAGTGGGTTCAAGAACTGCGAGAGTGGAGATGGCGCGGCAAAACAGATCAGCTCATCCGAAGCACGCCGCCTGCTAGAACTCGCCTCTTCTGAACTGCAAGTGCAACAGCTGCTGCCGCGTGCTTGAAGACTGGGGCTACCTACTTCATTCTGTGCCTTCAAATTCTCAGCACTGGCACTGGTGGAAACCACCCTCAGGACTCGGGGCCCCTAGTGACAAAGCTGGCTACCATGCAGCGCGATCTTTTGCATGACCGTCAGGCCGCCTCTTGCAGACGCCGATTAGCATCCGTTGGCTACTTGCCTGGTTGCCTTGTCACTGAGTAACACGTGTCCCTTAATCTTGAGGGTAGTAGCATGGCACCGCCAGCCATTAGCCGCCTGCGAGCCATCCCCATCGTCTACTACCGGTCCGAAAAACAAACCTGCTTGAACCTGCACACTCGTCTCAGGACTGTGGAAGTTCAGCAAAGTCAGCGTTATGCGGGCCTGCTTGCAGCAACTCAAAAAAGCCTGCTCAAACTGGTTTCCTCCGGTACAGTATTGTTCTGACTGCACACCAATCATCGGAGGCAACTTCAACCAACAGCCAATCCGGCACGACAGATTTCGACATTTGCCGAAAAGGGAAGCTAAGAAGTGAACCCATCCGGTTGCAGAGGTACGTGTGCAACCTCTCACGAGGCTTTCGCGATAATATTTCGCTGAAGCTTTGGGTACTGAATAGAGAGCAAGGAAACCTCCATCTCCCAATGACATTCGTTTCTCTGCTTTTCAACTCCAAGAAAGCTCGGGGTATCCCTCGAACATCTGAGGTCCACTCATTGGATCTCCCCAGTATGGTACCTTACTATAAGGCCCACCCAAACCCCTAGTGCTCGACCGAGGCGAATCTATTCCCCGTATGGGGCTTTCAGATTCAGTGCTTTGAGAGGGAATTGTCTTGGACAAGGATCCTAACATGGGGTCCACAATTCTGAGAACTACCTCAAGGAACCTCATGCAATAGTTTCTTATACGGAAGGAAATCGGCTCCTACTTTCCCAGAGTCCCACATCTGTGCTGGACACAGGTTGCCATCACTCCACAGCGGCTCCTAACACAAGTCCTATCAATATCAACAGTTTCTTAGGTTTGGGGAAAATCACGACTATGTAGAATTCTAAAAGGGCTTGTTCACTGGAAGCTTTTCTCACTCTGCTCCCTATGACTGGCGCAAACATGCTCTGATAAGTAGGTCCTATCACATGATGTTGCAAAATTCCTGAAGCATGAGAATGAACACTACAAACCCCTGCACATTCTCACTTTGTGGTCCCTCTCAGGTGTATCGAACCTTGCTTCTTACGCAATTCCCTCCTGCCTCTATCAACCCTGACAGGACACTTCGTGTAGTCCTACAAGCTTCCAGATTCTTCAAATTCTTCCAAATGATTCCCCTTCAGGTGTTTCGACCTCTGCTCCCTACATTTCTGGTAGCAGGAGCGGCGGCACCGCGCTGGGGTCGCGCAGTGCCACCGGGGCCCGCTCTGCGGTGATCGAGTGGTCCAGATCAATCTGTATTGCTCCAGGAGAAACAGGGTTTCATTGGGCCGTGACGTTCAATACAGTAAAACTTTCATGGGGGAGCTTGTTCAGGTCTTTGAAGCCTCATGCTCTGACCTCTTGGAAGGAGCAGCCGCGGATGTCGATCTTTCTAGCGTCGCTATGCTATAGTTAGAATGCTGTCTGGCAGGGCATTGTACACTTAGGATAAGTTCTTTAGATTCCTGGGACAGGCTGTCTGGAGTCCTGGCTATTGATTCGCATCACCCAGCAAAAGGTACAGGAGCTGTCATTTGGTCATCTGGGAATCGTTGCAGCGAGAAGAAGGCGTAAAATGAAGTGCGCAAGAAGCTCCCAGGCTACGACACCCTCAATTCTGGCCACTCGAGGTTGTAGCCATGTAGCTCACTAAAGCCAAGCGGAGATCTGGTCAAAAGACAGACGGCAGAAGCTCCGCTTGTGCTAGCAGCACCAGACCTTCCTAACGCTGGCTTTGATGAGCCCTTGGCCTACTACTAGCCTTCAGAAGTCGGCTTGCCTGCGCCGAGATGCTGCAGGGCAACAGTGGGACAAAATGACAGCAGGAACACTGCATAAGTAAGCGGCTCTGCCTACGTCCAGGTGGCTGCTAGCTGAACTGCGTGGCATGGGGCGATGTCGGATGACCCTGGCATTGGGATGACTGACACCAAGCACATCGCGAAGCAAGCCACTTGCAGGTGCACTTCCGACTAGCATGGTCAATCAAGAACGCAGCTGGCACAAGCAAGGAACAACGCCGGCTGCGAAAGGGGCCGACCTCACTGGTTATGACGCCAGTTTCCACCACCTGTTGGATTGCCCATAAGCTGTTGGCAATACGAGCAACGAGGCCGCTTAGTATGCACAACGTGTGGGACCACGCTTCGCAACAAAGTCAAGACCACATCTCAAACTACCTGGTGGTCCTTGGGGAATGGAGGAAGGGATCCCTGTAGAAGTCACCGTGTACTGCGCTCCACCTATTTCCTATTCCCTCATTCCCTACCACGCATCAGTAAGCCAGCAAGTGGTAGTTTCCCAAAATAAGGGGACCCCAATATAGATCCCAAAATGCAACAGTTCTTATTATGGGGACACACAAAAAAGTTTTTTCCATGCACATGCAAAAAAAACATTGATTTCGGGAAGCCCCCAAGACTGAATTGGACTGGGAAGGCAGCTTTGCCTTCAGGCCAGCTTCCGCCTTAGTGATCAGCTTCCCAGACGCTGGGAAGGGGCTCCCCAAAATTGGGTCAAATCATGCACAGTAACTCTGTTAAGGGTTTAGGGTTTAGTGGATTCACAACTCCTGTGGCACGCAGCTTTTGCTTGCAGACTTTGGAAAGCATTTGAGAAAGCCTCAGCGGCAGCGACCTAGGAGACCTCACCCACAGTCCACGTTCAGTCGGTGACCGTTTGCATGCTAGTAATCGTAACAATAGTAAACATGATAGTAGTAGTAGTAGTAGTACTAGTAGTAGTAGTAGTAGTAGCAGTAGTAGCAGTAGTAGCAGTAATAGCAGTAGCAGTAGCAGTAGCAGCAGCAGCAGCAGCGGCAATAAAAGAACCAATATTAATAGTAGTTCCGTAGTACTTATGATAGTAGGCTTGAGTTGCCCTCATCTCTCTGGTCCATCAATATTCTTGGGTTGCCTATAGTGTATGGCCTTTCAGCTCGAAGAGAAGCAGCTCCTCATGCAATGCCCTGCACCGATTGACTATTCCGCTCTCAGATCAAGTAAGACTGTGTATGAGGACCTTTTGAATCTCACTTCTAGTTGACAATTCCTGCATCTTTCTGGAAAGCTGAGGGTACTCTTCTGGCAGAGGCCCCTGTGATCTTGGGCCCCGACTAGCGGCGAGTCCCTGTGGCTGCAACAAAAAATGGAGGATGAGAGGGGCTTTCCATACAACACCGCAAACAAGGGTAGATATAAGCTCCATATTGCTATAAAATTGAATCGCCCTCATCTGGCTAGGGTTCTGTGACGATCATGGTGTCAATTTCATTTCCACTCCCAGACGGCCTGAGTATTTGTTTCAATTTTCCGGCACAGCAAGCTATTGCAGCGGAAAGGAACTGTGGAGTTAGCACCTTTGGGCGTCCATGCAACTTTGTGCAGCAATCGGCCCTTGTTTTGCAAATATCTTTCGTCCATCAATATGTCCGTTTGAGCTATTGTTCCATCATGGTTGGTTCACAAGCGATATGGCAGCAATAATGCAACTGATGAGACAAAGCCCCTGTTAAGCTGTGCAATGCGCGAGAGAAGCCGCCTGAAAGCCTACAGAAAGACCGTGCGAAACCCTCACAGACGCCCTAAACTGAAAATTCCAAGCTGTAAACCCTATGCCCTAATCTTCTAGACCCTAAATTACTAATCTTGAGCCCGGCCTAAACCGTGCAAAGCTCTGTGAACTAGGAAGCTCAGGATCTTTACAATGCAGGCACACTTGTAATTGCTATCAGTCACGAACCCCTGTATCACTCATGCGCAATTCTGGTTGGGTTAGAACTACAGCTACAGCTATACTTACCCTGGGCCTGATAAAACTTAACGGTGCCTTCGGGGCACGAGGGAGCAAATGCGGGTACTATTTCTCGTGCGCGGCAAGGATTTTAGAGGGGCCGCTCCCCAACTCCCCCTTCCGCACCCTAAACCCTAAAACTTAGAGTGCTTTCTTGCTTTTTTTCCATCATTCCTCTATAAGGCCTACATAATCCCTATAAAGCCTTTATGCATATAGATATACATATATATATATGCATATATATATACATGTATATATATATATACACATAATCCCTACAACGTCCCTATCTAATCGCTATCAAAGAACCCCTATATAATCTGTGAAGCTAAAGTAGAGAAAGGCCTCCAGGAGCTTCCGAGGCCCGCGCTCGCCATCGCTGTCGGCTCCCAAGCCACCCAGAGGTAGAATCCGCTTACTTGCCAGCCTGGCTTGAAGGGTGCCCGACATTGGGCAGCTGAGGATTCGGGAGGCTCCTCAAACTATGAACCCTTCATTTTTTCCAGCTCCGCACCTATCATGGGGATCCTGTACTGTGGGGCGACAAGATAGGAACAACCTTTTACAGAAATACCCATTTCCGTTCTCCACAGTCTTAGGAGTGCTTAGAGTACACATTCTCTGCGGCTCTAAGGGGCTTCAAGGCCAACATTAAGCCTAGATCCAGGGCCACAGGTGTTTTAGCCCGAGTTTCAGGGACACCGGGGTGACTGGGAGGAGAGAGAATACCTAGAGAGGGTGACTAGCAGGTTGCTATAGGAAATAAAGGGATAGAAGCAGTGGCTTTATACTACGGTGCGGCAAAGTCTTCCCCCTGGAGGTGGGATTTATAGATGCGCCCTGACCCTTCTCCTTCTAAACTAAACTGTAAACCCTTCCCTAAAAAACAGCGAGCTGCACACCCACCCATTGTTTAAATGATTGGGGTCCCTTTTTGGGCTCCATGTTTGTTGTTTCCATTGTCTTTTCCAGTATCCCAGTATAACCCCAATATAACCCTAATATACCCTAATATACCCGTATCCCTCTGTAGCGCTATCCATTCCCAGGCCTTGTGGACTCTCTGAGAGAGCGCACCTTGACCACCTGCGCTTTCGGTGTTCCGACACTCACTGTGGGGCAGGGCATATCCCATACGTTTAAGGATGTGGGAGTTTATTGTGAACTCATAAGGAACATGTTTCTGATGTTGTGCTGTCTTGGGAAAATGCTGACTTGTCGAAATGATCCGCTGCAATCAGCTCGGAGTCAACCTGAAAACAAAAAAACCAACCGATGAGTTTACAATCATTATACAAGCCTAGTTTCCATCTTATTCTCAATTTTCTTATCCGTTTGATTCTTCATCAGTGGGGCTAGAAACATATACATATATCTATATACCCTTATAATTATAATCCATATATACCCCCATCTAACCCCATTCACATATTCATATATATATATATCCCGTTTTAATCCCTATATACTCCTCTAGAACCCCCGTTCCAATGGCACAGTAATCAAAATAGCTAGTCCCAAGCTGAACAGTGAAGCAAGGTTGAGAACTGCAGAGCAACAGGTCGAACAAGGTCGGAAAAGCTATAAGAACAGTAATTATAGTATAGTAGTATGAATAATATTCAAAATAAATAATAACAGTAGTACTAGTATTTATAATAACAGTGGTAGTAGTGCCATTATTATTATTATTAGTAGTAATACTAGTGGTCGTCGTGGTAGTAGTAGTAGTAGTAGTAGTCTTGGTGGCGGTAGTGGTAGTAGTAGTAGTAGTAGTAGCAGCAGCAGTAGCAGCAGCAGCAGTAGCAGCAGTAGCAGCAGCAGGAGCAGCAGTAGCAGCTGTTGTAACAACAGTAATCATAATATTAATAGCAGAAAGAATAATAATACAGTCACCTGCCACAGACCATCAGTCTTAATTTTTGTGCTCGCTTTCTGTCTTGGCTGTGTCTGCCTGACTAATGTTGAGATAGCATTAATACAGGGGGTGACAGTAGCATTGAGTTGCCGGGTCGGAAAAATCCGTACAATCAAATTTGCTTTCTAACAAGTTTTGAGCCCAACA